GCCCATTTGTTGGGGGTTAATATGATGGCAACCAAGGGCCCATTTGTTGGGGGTTAATATGATGGCAACCAAGGGCCCATTTGCTGTGGGGGTTCATGTGATGGCAACCAAGGGCCCATTTGTTGGAGGTTAATATGATGGCAACCCAGGTCCCATTTGCTGTGGGGGGGAGGGGGGGGGTCATATGATGGCGACCCAGGGCCCATTTGTTGGGGTTCACACAAAATAATTATAAATACCTTTACATGTGGGTCCAGTAAAATGTCCTTTACATCTACACACAGCTTTTCCTTGATCATTGACACAGGTTCCACCGTTCTCACACTTGGTGCTGGAGCAAGGGTCGACCACTAAAAGAGACATATAACAGGATAATATACCAGATAAACCTGTTTTACATGACTGCTACACATAAAATGACGTCACTTACCAATTTCACAAAAACGTCCCGTATGGTCGTGTACACAAATGCATCTTGGAATACCCCCAGCAACGAAACACTTGCCGCCATKTTGGCATGGGTTAGGGAAACAAGGATCCTTTACTAAAAATAAATATGGAATACAAGACCTTTCTGTGGTAATATGAATTAACAACGTCGATATCAATATATATATATTTACTTTTATTACGCAAAGCCATGGGTTCAAGAACTCACTAGAAGGAATAATTACAGATATTCATTTAGAAAAAACAACTATATTCTTGTTTCCTTATCGAGAACAAGAACCACTTCCTGGAACATACCGTGTCCAGGCTACGCTAATATATATTTTTACCAGCGCCGCGATCGACTTGATAGATTCTGCGTATGATCTTTTCACATCATTTTTTGAATATTTTTATCATTGCAGCGATAATTTAGCATTCAGATTGCATTCGCATTATCCTCAGAGAATTCATAAGATGAAAGTTTACTTTGCATAAAATGATTTTCGAAAGAAAAAAAAGAACGAGTATATTTTAAAGTTAAAAAAAGAAAAAAAAATTGTTTAGAAGTTGCTCGAGTCAAGAATCAAAACCCGAGATCTTCAGTTCAACGCCGCTGTTCAAGTATGATC